TGTTGGTGAGTCCATTACCTGTGTCTGCATGGCAGGTGCTGATGTCATGGGGTTCTTTAATGCTTGGCACACGATACGACAATCCTCCCTTGGTGTGGTCTATCTTGGGCGACCGGAACCTTCACGACGTCTGTGGATTGGTTCCAACATCGGGCGACTGTGATATCTGCATGCCCCACATGCCAAGCAACTGCACGATATGACCACATGGCCTCATGCAAACCCACGATGCCACCCCTATCAAACTGTCTAATGCGCCTAATATGTTACTTTAAAAGTTGTGTTTATAGAAAATGTTTCTTGTACTCAAGGCAATGAGATTACTCTAAATTAAAACCACAACTTTTCAATAAATGAATGCAATAAGAATGATTAATTAAATGAATGCATGCATGCCTCCATCCATCCATCCATGTGTAACCCACACATATGTCAACATGCATGCACACCCTGTGCACCCCTTAGATTAGCAGAGGGACTTTGATGGGCAGGTCTATTACAGGCCTCTGCCATTTCCCCCATATTGAGAGGATTTTGACAGGGTTAGTAATGAGGTTTTCATGGCTACTATGTTGCTGTGCTTCAGAAATCCAGTACAAAACAGATCACTTTCTTCAGCACTGGCAGCAGCTCTCTACTTCAGTCTGGCTGGTAATGTCATGAAGTGCTAATTTAAAATATTTGCAAGCATTCTCTGTAAATGGCCGCTCTGTGAAAGCTATGAGCTCCTCATGGTTTTTGATTCAGTTACAGACTCGGCCGGCTCTCCAGCACAGACGCAGTGGCCACAGGCCAGCAGTGACGGCTCAGCAGGGTGCACTGCAGCCTCACACATCCAGACTTGTCACTTTGCTTCCTGCTTCTGACTTTGTGGCTGTAACTTGCAATAGTTTCTTCTTGGTGCTCCAGTTTCCTCCTGCAGTATGAAAGGTGAATTGGTGCCTCTAAGTTTCCCTTCGTTTGTGTGAGCGGGCGCCCGGCGATGGACCAGCACCCTCTCAGGCTGTTTCGCTGCCCTGGGCTTCCTATGATCAGCTGCGGGAAAATGTATGAAACACAGGCCTCATGTTCAGTACATTCTTTCTCATATTTAGGCAAGTCGTCTCCTGTTTATGCCAATAACGCTGTCAGCTCTTTCACTCTTCTTACTATTTCATGAATGCAATCAGCAAAAGGAATAAAAGATTAGCATAACTGCTAAACAATCAACTAAGTGGAGCTGGATATACTGTATAAAGGGGAACTTAGGGAATCCCCTTTATTAACATAAAAACTTTTTGCCAACACATTCGCACACTTAGCACTTAAAAAAAATTGGGTTGTTTTACAGGGAAGAACAGCTTAATAACCTTGATTAAGAAATGTTGATTTTGTTCAGTTTTAAAATATGAAAATGGATTAGAGGTCTACAGATATACTTTTCCCATGTGTCTGTACTGCACAGAGCTGGAATAAGGCACACATGTAATGCTGTTTACATAATGTACCTTATTACGGTAATACCATACATTTTTTATATCAGACTCATCTGATAATGTATATATACCATACAAATGTATTAGAATATACAAGTAAAAACATAAACCTAAAATATGGTACCTATCCATTTCTTTGCTGAACTGGAAAGTGCTCTAATATCAATAAAAGCTGACCTGAACAATATTAATCCCAGGAAATGTGTTTTTGAAATAAGCATTAAACATAATGTTTTGCATACCAAGTGTTGTTTAGATATACGTCAATCTGTAATAGTCCTTGCACAGATTTTTCAAGTGTAAAGACACTTCTAGTGGCACAAGCCAACCCCCCCCCCCCCCTCCCAGCCACCCCTGCACGTGCTTGGTCCTTCTTGGAGGTCATTGAAAGGCTGTCTGTGGCTTACTTGTATGTTTGACAGTGTTGCAGTGTCCAGAAATGTGTGAGCTGTTGGGCCTGAGCATGTGCTTTCACTGGGGTCACCACTGGATACGGCCTACAGGAGGCACGTAATGGGATACCTTCAGAAGGTCTGATCCTCCCTGTCCCACACTATCAAGCTCCACACGTGGGCACCATCTGGCATACTGGGCATTTTCCTGGAGGGCCGTTGGACATTTGGGTGGGCAGAATTCATGGTGGTGGACCCCAAAGTCCAGGCCTGAATTTTACTGCCAGTCCATCCCTCCCCATGGGTCAAGTACAGATGTATTTATAACAATCTAAAATATTTCCAACTTGGGCCCAGCGGGGAAGGTGTCAGTCCCAGTGACAGGGGACCCCGCGCCGCTGTGTGCAACAGTGTTGCCGTTTAGCCGCCCCCCCCCCGGTCCTCGAATGCCACCCAGCGTCCTTTATTTCCAGCCCACTCTATAAATATTTCACGGCTGGCATCTGGTGTCCCCATGTTGCTGCTGGAGACCACGTTTGTCCGCGTGTCACCTTCGCCTGTGCCGCGGCGCGTAAATCGCACAGGCTGTCGCCATGAAGCACACGTCACACTGTATTCTCCGGGAGTCGATGCCGTGCTGCACCTGGAATTGGCCCCGGCTGTCGCAGCGCCACCTCATGGCTGCGAGCGCATCTGTAACACCTGGGAGCCTCAAGTGGACAGTCAGAGGAGCTTCCAGTTTTTAATTAGAGGAGGGTTAAATTAAATTGAACATGACTAAGCACAGATGATGCCTGTTAATGAGCCATGCAGGCTTTGGCTCCACCTTTAGTCAAAAAATATTTCCATGATTTTTAGTGCGAGGGTGAAAACAAAGGCTGGTGTTACCATGTAATGAAGGAAGCGACTGTAGATGAAATGGACGACAAAAAACAATGATTAAAAAAAATGTTAATAACTGACTGGTCAGTTTCTGGCAATTTCATGTGTGGAGGAGATGAGTAGTTTAAATTTGCTCACGAATTACAGCAAAGGAAAGCGTCAAGTTCTGTGAGCTTTATGATGTCACATTGTTTCTGCTGCATTCAGCAAGATGCTTTGGCCATGTGGAGTTAATTATGATGAACACTTTTAGGATGCTGGACAGAAATAACCATCCATCCATCCATCCTCTAAGCACTCGTCCAGTGTAGGGTGACACCAAGAAATAACGTTTGACAGCTAATAAAAAAAGTTCTACTTAATACATAAACATAAATGAAGACAAACCTTCTGTTAGAGATTAATTATATTTTAATTAACTAAATTTATGACTAAGTCACCCAGTAAAGGCTGAGTCAGGGCTGTGGAGAGAATTTCATTTGCTTTGTTGCCGGGAGATGAACCTCCTCCTTATCGATTGGTTTGCAGTTCCAGTTTGACTCTGAGAGTCATGCAGTGCGCAGTTGGCAGTTGACTGACATGCACATACCCACAATCCTCAGCATGATTAAAGCCGCTCAGCGGACAATGTTAAGGAGCCTGAGCCCCTTGGCTTCAGACATGTCTGATCTGGGCACCTGATCTCTGTCTTGGCTGCGGTTTGAATTCTGGTGGACAGACAGGCTGATCTCAGTATTGGGAGGACCAATTGTCAGATGAGAATTCTGCGTATAAATGCTATTAAGCTCATTTTGCTTATCACCCGACTATGTATCCACCCCAGGCTTGTGTTGAATGCTTCTGTGACAAAGGATTACATGGACGATATGAAGATCATAACACTATGCTGATTTGTTATAAAAATGTATGGAGATTGGTATTTATGCAATTAAAAAACATCATTATTATTCTATTCTTATTAGCATCTACTGATCTAATGTTGTAAACTGGATATTGGCTACTCTTAACACATTGTTGACAATGGATATAAGTAACTATGGCTGACTTTTCATAAACTTGCAGAGTATTTGATATAAGCTTGTATATCAGCGTTTTTCCACCGCATTAGGTACCGAACTTTTGATACTTCGAGAAAGTAAGTATGGTTCTTCAAGGTGCTGGTTTTCCACTGGGGTAAAAACGGGTACTGGCGCTGAATGACATGACAGCGCGAAGCGGGGTATTTTGTACTGAATTTGAAAAATGGCCATAGTAGGACTGTGCAACGTGCGATATTAATACAACATCACATGTTATGCACATCCAATTCTTACATCGCTAGTCAGCTCTACTAAAATAAGGCTTTTTCTTATTTTCGTATCTGTATGGGTTAAGGCGCCCTTTCTGTATACTGTGGTAGGCTGCAGGAAGACACAACCCAGCCTGGTCCTTGGGGATCCACAGACAGTCCACATTTTTGTTCCCTTCCAGTTCCCTGCAAACAGTCTTACCAGACTTACCAGGTTGGGATACACTGTATTAGAGAATGTGTGACGGGTCGGGGCTCAGCTTTGTTTGTGTCCGTCAGGGCATTGCAGATCTACAGCGGGGCTGGACAGGGTAGTTAGACACTTGCCAAGGTGCTCCTGAGGGAGCCTTTCAAACGTGAGCCAGCTGGAGCCGTGAGCGGGTGCCAGGTGTGGGGAATTATGGCCGCAGCGGATATGGACAGCCAACCCAAAACAGAGGTGCTGAGATTTCGACCGGTAGCTGCTGTCTCCGGTCCTGGTTGGGGTCGCGGCCACCTGTCTCTTGGCCTGAGCGACGGATGTTTCCGGCTATTGGCGGTGGTGTCGTGATAATATATAAATGTATACGTACTCATGTGGTGGCTGGCTCCTGAGGGAATGCAGTACGACTTCACTTTGAAAGCAGTAACAACTGGGGAATGTTTCCACCTTCAGTGCCATGCTGTACTTTGATAGTGTTGTTTAAAACATAAACTGGAGCATTAAGATAACCTTAAGACAATTTCTTTTTCTATAGACAGGTGGTGCATGATACAGGCATAAAATGATGGCAGAAACTGGAAGAAGGGAGACGATGAAAAACAAAGGAAATATTTGAATAACAGAAAGGAACTGAGGAGATGAGGAAATATGACTCTGAAGTCACTTGATCTCTTCACACACAAAGCTTAAGTGTATGTTTGCATCTTGTATAAAATGATCTTTGTGGCAGTAACCCTGTTTATTTTTGGTTTGTCTGTCAGGTCCAAGAATGGCTCTGCTTGAACTGCCAGATGCAGCGAGCTTTGGGGATGGACATGACCACCCCGCGCTCCAAGAGCCAGCAGCAGATCCACTCTCCTTCTCACCAAACCAAACCAGACCCTATGCCTCAAGCCCAGCCCAAACCCCAAGCCCAGGCTTCTCCAGCCTTGCCAAAGCAACCAGGCCAGACTCCCGTCCCTCAGCCTGGACCTCAAGGGGGGCCCGGTCCCCATAGCATGAGATCCGACCCGTATTCTCCACGTGGACCAGCCACTCAGACTCTAGCCCAGGCCAGGCATGACCCCGCGACCCGTGGCCCACAGTCTGGGATAGGTTCAATGCCAGGCATGGCTAAGGCACCTTCACAACCTGATCTTTCTCGCTCCTCCCCCATGCACCAACCGCAGACGGCTCGACCGAGCCAGATCCGCAGTGCAGGGAGCTCCCCAGCCCGGCAGCCGGGGCCATCCCAGGAGTCCCAGCAAGATGGTCTGACTGGCAAGCTGTTTGGCTTTGGAGCATCCCTTTTGAACCAGGCCAGTACCCTAATGTCTGTGGACCCCACCCAAACGGTCCCGTCCCAGAAGTCTCCCGTCAGGACACCTCACAAGGTTGTCTTCAGTGACGCCAGCAAGACCCAAGACCCTGCAGCCATGGCTGGGGCTGCTTCTGGCAAGATCCCTCAGTTACAACCAGTCGGCCAGCACCCGAGCCCCCAGAAACTCCCCCAGCAGCAGACCCCACAGAAACTGCCCCAGCAACCATTGCCCCAGCACTCAAGCCCCCAGAAACTGCCCCAGCAGCCATTGTCTCAGCAGCAGACCCCACAGAAACTGCCCCAACAGCCATTGTCTCAGCAGCAGACCCCACAGAAACTGCCCCACCAGCAATTGCCTCAGCAACACACTCCACAGAAACTGCCCCAGCAACAGACCCCACAGAAACTGCCCCACCAGCCACTGCCCCAGCAACAGACTCCACAGAAACTGCCCCAGCAACAGACTCCACAGAAACTGCCCCAGCAACAGACCCCACAGAAACTGCCCCACCAGACATTGCCCCCTCAGCCGAGCCCCCAGAAACTGCCCCAGCAGCCATTGCCCCAGCAGCAGACTCCACAGAAAGCACCTCATCAGCAGAGCCCACAGAAGATGGTACACCAGCAGCAGAGTCCTCAGAAGCAGCAGCACCATCAGCAGAAAGCCCATCAGGAGATGCCACCCAAGGCCAAGGAGCCAGAGAAGCCCAAAGTCAACTGCCCATTGTGTAAGACCGAGCTGAACATCGGCAGTGGGCACCCTCCCAACTACAATTCCTGCACACAGTGCCACACACAGGTCTGCAACTTGTGTGGTTTCAACCCTACGCCGGACCTGGTGGAGGTAAGGCAGGCTTGTCACTATGTCTGTGACACTTTAGGGTAGGGTTGCCCGATTCCATTCCTGGAGGGCCAGAATCCAACAGGGGAATGTGACACAGGAACACAGGCCCTCCAGGACTGAAACTGAGGAACCATACTTTAGGTAGCTGATAGCTGGTGCCCAAGAGCCAACAAGTGGCTCTGGAGAGTACGGGCTCTCTAATATATTTCTCTTTCCTCCTTTCATTCTTGCTGACCTTGACATGACAGCATGTGTTCTGCTTTCATTACGCATAGATTTTGTCATGTGCTCCCTTACTCTCAGCAATTGAACTCAATGGGGTCTTGTGTTGCAGTTTGGATTGGAATAAATTGCACCGTACGATTAATTATTTTTTTAATTGTTTAAATCTATTTTCGTTCTGCAAGGGGATGTTCAAGGACCCTTGGTCAAAAGGCACAGTGGTGCCCGGACAGAACAATTACAGCTGTGAATCATGAGGGCTGAATCTATTTTGCGTCCCTCCACAAACTGTGTCATTTTCAAAACAAAGGTGTTGAAATATGTGTGTTGAAAATGCATGGCAGAAATAAATTGTGGCTGGAATTGCTTGATTCCAATCTCAAGCTAATAAATCGAAGACCCTAAGGATGTGATGATGACTGAAATAGAAGGAATTAAAAGCTGACTGATGGCTCCATTAGAGATGAGAGTGCTTAGTGGCTGACAAGATGTCCACTGTGCATTTTTATGTTTTTTGCTTTTTATTGCATGTATGTTTACTCTGTTTGCTGCTGTTTGTGTATATGCTCTGTAGATTGTCTGCTTCCAGTGTGTACGTGGGTATTTTTGTTTGTGGATAATATACTGAGCAGTGGGCTGGGAGAATGAGATGGAGATACAGAACAGTTCAGACAAACAGACATCTTCCCCTAAAATAAGCACTCTGGATAGCCTCTTATATCTTGACCTGAAAAGTGGGTTTCTGAAGGGTTGGATATTAATTAAGAATAACCAGAACATACATGTGAATTAATTTAACCATTATCAACACTGTTTATTAATTTGCATGACACTTGGCATGACTTTCTGACTTATGCACCAGTAGTAGAAATGGCCCTTGGGATCAGGGTAGTTTCACAGTGCCTAGATCTTTGAGGAAGTTTACAGCTGAGTATAGAGTTACCACAGAAACAGAGTAGCACCACTAAAACACCCACACGATTGTTTTTCTCCCTGTTTTGTCACTACTGAAATTAATATTTCCTTTTACTGCATGATGTATAGCTGGGTGTGAATCTAAAGTAAAATGTTGAAACTTTGGAGTTTGAAATAGGTAACTCTTTGCCCATCACATACAGACGGGAAAATTATGGCATTTGAAATAGTCTGTAATTAAGATTTTTACGCTCAAACTTTTGTAAAGTGGTACAATTATCCAAATCAAGTCAAATTGAATGCTGACAGTAATAGCAGCCTTTCATGAACCCAGTGAGTTGTATAAGGAGCTGTTAGTCATACCACAAAGCCAGCCAATCAATTGATGATGCATTTCCAGTGAGATTATGGTAATGTGTGTGTACATATCTGCATAAAATAGCTATGATATATATATGTGTGTGTGTGTGTCTGTCTGTCTGTGTGTATATCATGGCTATTCAGCTACAAGTAAACAGGTGTACAGTGACTGGGGGGGGGGGGGGGAGAGACGGCATTTCACATTAGAGGAGTGAAAAACCTTTTTGGGAGCTGGCTTAGAATTCGGATGCTGTTTAAAAATTAACATCAACATTAGTACTTTTTCCTGTATGCTTTGCAGGATGTGATGTTTTATATTCCACACTGATTCACTGCCTCACTTAGATGCCTGTTTTCTGATGTTTTTTTCAGCCTTCTAGTTCTGCCTCATTAAGGATTTAATAGGCTGTAATGTCTCTTTGCGTTCAGAGACCTCGGTGTAGCCCATACATTTTCGGTGGGCAAAACTGCACTCCCATTTTCATGCACTGTCCTCTGGGTCAGTACTTTATTTTAAAGTCCCTGTTTCTTCCATTGCAACTCTTTTGGCATACACCTGAGTCATTCATATTTTATGCTTTGCTTTTACCAGTTATTATAGAAACCATGCTGTACTGGAAATGATACCAGAATACAATGCCCTATATTGATGTCTCTCACGCTTGTATGAACGGTGTAATGGGCTGCATGTAACTAGCTACAGAGGGATCCAGCCTATCCTTCGGACTTTTCCTACAAAAGTATTAACAAATGCAGTCAGCTTAATTTTGTGTACGACATTTAAAAAAGTGAACTAGTCACAATGCTGTAGGTGTTGCCTATGGGGCAATATGTTGAGGTCCCCCAATATGGGGCAGGTGAGAAACTTACCTGTAATAGGTGAGTCTGGAAAAGTCTCATCTTCTTTCTGTTCCTGCTGTGGTACCTAAATAATATTATTTCCATCACCATACTCCACCATACGCATTATACAGTCTTTTACTGAATATGCTTATTTGAATTCTTTATACCCAATAACAAATAAAATGTCTCATTTGTAAAACCCTTGTAAAATGTGATTGGATAGAATGTATACTTACTGTAATGGATACACTCGGACCCACGGATGGACAGATCATTGAGCCTTTATTAGACTGGCTGAGAGAGACGGGCAACAGGGATCGGACAGAGACGTGGTCGTGCAGACAGGGTCGAAATCCGGGTGATCAGGAAGAAACGGCAGGCACAAGGTGTATTAACATTTGTATGTTTTATTATCAACATTTTAACATTTTTAATCCGGGTCCATGGTTGAGGTCGCTGACGAAAGGTTCGGTTACCGGGGAATCCGTCCGGACACACAGACAGGGCTCAAGAGGAACTCACAGGGAGGAAGAGCGAGGGGAGGAAGGGCAGGAGGGTGGTTGAGACGGGCAGGCGGGAGAGTCGGGTAGGGCGGAACAGAGCTCGACGGGAGACAGGGAGAATTACGCTCAGTATGGTTCTGTACATGAAGCAATACCTCGCGTTGGACTGCGGTTATTGTCGTGCTTATACCTAACGTGCTTCATGGGCATTGGTTGGAGGCAGCTGCTTCCCATTGCCCGTCTGCAGCCGGGGCGTGACACTTACAATGGTGTATATAAGCTCTTTGGGGACTTCATGCTAGCCTGTTTCAGCCTGGGGCTTAAAAGAGTCCTGGCCTCCAAGATGGCTTTGGGAGGACAGCTTCTACACTCAAGAAGAAGCTTATCTCATACGGCTCGACCGAGATGAGCAAGGCGCTGGGATTCATGCCTCCGTTTCCTGCCCTGTTAGTAGAGTATGCTGATGACAGACCCCAGGCCTCATGATCTGAATCGGAGATCAATAGGAGCTGCACATTGTGTAATACTTCATTTACTGCTGTGCCCTGCGCTTTGTCAAAATGTACATCAGAGCTGAGCATTTTCTGCAGTTGTTTCCAGTCAAACTAAGAAAATACAAAAATACGAAAGCAGTGCTAAAATGTCCAGCAAAGCTGTGGTTTGACATTGTGGAAGAAGTTTTATAGTTAACGTTAATATGTGCTGAAGCACAGCATTTTGTTTAATACATAAACAATGCTAAAACAATTGTCAAATTAATGTTTTTTACGTAGTGGCAATAATATGAGACTGCAAAGTAGTTTCAGGTGGCCCGAAGCTTGCGAATATCACTGTGTTAATCTTATTTTAATTGAACAATCACATTATATTCTGCAGTGCAGAAAAATGAGAAAATAGAAAAAACATTCTTCCTTGAATCAGTAATCCAATGCTAATAAAACCCAGCTCTCTGTAGATAATTTTCATGTACTAAATTGGCAGTTTATATATTGAATATCTGAGAGTCTTGGATGGTTAAGTAACGATCTATCAGACATTATGTGTTCAGTCGGTATCTGATGACTGATGATATTATCTTGAGTCCTAGCCTTGGATCCAACTAGATGGCAAACAGAGAAGTACATGGGGTTATGCTGGTATAAACCATCTAGACACAAACACTATGGACCCAAGAAGTCAGTCATTTTACCTAATTACTTGTTAACTACACAGCAGACTGCAAATCAGTGCAGTGTTGCTGGTTCGAGCAGTGACATGCAGTGGGTCCATATACTGGTTCCTCAGTACCAGGGCCTTTACATCTGTGATGGTACAGAGACTACTCTGTTTAGTAGGAACATTTATTTTCATATGCATCTATCTATGTACAACAATGTACATACAAATGAATAACATTAGATTAATAAAATATGTCATAAAATGAAAGAAGGGAATGGGAAGGGGAAACACATTCCTGGCTGTATACTTTAATAAGTGTTCAGAGGATGCAAAATCAGATGGACGTGTATCTACATGACACCCGTGGGAATGAAGAGATAAATATATAACTGTTTGCAGATTCTCCACACATAAGACGGAAGGATGTGAGAAGCGGGTGAGAGAGTGCGAGGGAGTGTGAGACCAAGGAAGCTGTGGTGAGAACCTGGCTAAGCTTTGGGGGAAATCAGCCTGCCTCTTCAGTCAGGACTTCACTGTGCCACACCATTCATTATGCTCTGGTCATTGCTCTCACCTGACAGTGAAGTACTCCTTCACTGGCAGTGCCACATGCTGGTTAAGGATCAAGGATTTTACAGTTGCTAGTACAAATCTTGAGGAGGAAATGATCAAGGTACTTAAATTGCATTACTCCAGTGATACATCCGGTACTATAATCAGGAAAAATTGTAAGTTGATTTGGGTGAAAGATAATTGTGAAAGTGTACCTTGTTCCTTCCATTTTCTTTCAGTACTTCTATCGTAGACTCTTGTATCCATATGTCTCTACCAGTATTTTCCTTTTTGCGTTATCAAGCGTTCCTTTTTTGTTATTAAAATTCTTGAGTTGACAAGATAGAGAAGACTTCTTGCTAAGTGCCTGCCCTGAAACAGGTGCCATGCATCTCTGCCCTCTCCATGCCGCAAATTAAACAGCCACAAAGTGCTGTCTGGTATCAA